AAAAGAGTTTTGTATCGAATGTATTAACTGCAGAAGAATATGTACGGCATTTTATTTAAATTTATGTAATACAACAATGGATTTATATTTTCATAATTAGCCTCCTAACTACTTTACACTTAAATGAAGCATCATAAGACGTTCTTCTCTGTCCTCCATTTTGTAACTAAAACTCCTCTAAAAAAATTCCAACGCTAAAAGAAACGAAGTTGAATTTGAAAAATCCAATGTGACGTAATAATCGAACAAATAAATGAAGTTATGGCGTACTATAGAACAAATTTGCACTCGAATATAATTCGCACCACCATTTTGAGTGATACATTTGGTCAAAAAAGGTGGGCATTAGATTCGCGTAAATACGATATATCAAATTGTAGTTTGTTTTTCAATGTAAAATAATTTCTATTATGCCACTAGGGTTGTTGGGGCAAATATTGTTTTAGTTGTGCAGTTAAGTTTGAATTATGCCTAATTAGCATTTTAAAAGAAAAGTTTAATTTCCAAAATTAAATTTGCACAAGTTTAAATCCGATTTATTTCAGATATTTAGATAATCGTCTTATATCTCTCAGGTTGTTTAATTCAAACGTGACGTATGAAAGAAACGCAAATGCATTGCAATACAATAGTGTACTTTTCAAGTCTTCAGGGCTTCGTGCAAGAAAACGTGCACATATAAATATCTACGCTTCTTCCTGTGCATATTTTACTTTTTTTTAATATTCGAGCTAATAAACACGTATTCCATGAACAAATGAAGGAAATTTAGAAACTTGTTTGGGGTACCAAATACAAGGGGAGAAAGTTTTTCCAAATGGACGCACTATATCTGTGGAATGAGTTCAGCGAAAGAAGGAATAAGAGGATTTTTTGACAAGAATGATTTTAATATACGTATTAGTTTTAAATATCGTGATGGTGTAGAACGTACGGGCGGGTATGTTTCTTTTGACCTTAAAGAATAAGAGGAATAAGTGTCGTAGTACATCTTATTACAATTCGAGATTGTAATAAGACGCCGTTAGGTCGAGTTTCAAAGCCAATCAGGTATTGTAACAAGATATTTCAATTCCACCTGAACGAGAATCTCAGTTCACGAACAATGGAAGTAGAAGGGTAACTGCAGTTATTAAACGGAAGAATAAAAAGAGCCATTACCCTTCCTGCACTCTAATTGATAATCTGTTGTATGTTTGGAATCTTATGAAAATAAAATGGAATTGCGCATGGAAAGAATACAAAGCAGTGTTCATAAAACTATTCAAGACCTAAGAAATTGGAAACTAACTCAAAACTTACTAGAAGAGAACAAGTGGTTTTAACAAGAATTCGGACAGATTATTCAGAACTTAGTCATTTTCACCTATTACAAAAGACGCCTGCCCATACCTGTAATTCATGTAACTGTATTCTTAATCTAGATCATATCAGTAATTCATGACCTAAATTTTCTTTATTGCAAAGAGGCGTCTTTCAAGATTTAGATGATAATGTGCTGTTAATTTTTTTGTGCACCGAAAGCTAATAATTAGATTTTATAAATTAATTAATATTATATCTGAAATATAAGCTCTAAAATGTAAATAACTGATGAAAAGCATAATTGGATACCTTTTTGTTATAGTATCACTTTCTGTAACTTTCTGAAGTCACTAATAACTGTATAGTTGATGCGTCGCAAAATAAATATATTTAAAAAAATGTGCTGTTAATCGAAAACGCCATCCTTTCAGCAATTGTTCTTAAATTTGCGTGGCGTGTTTATAATTTTGCTTATTTTGGTACCTGTTCCAGTTGCCGCAGCTGATCGCTTTTTTCAAGTTAAACATGATAAATATTTTGCTATTTTTCTTCAAAACTCTGTTATCAATTCAAGTGCACGTTGGATTGATTAAACAAGAGCTATCTTTAGAAGCTTTACGCATA